TTTTTAGTAGAGACAGGGTTTTACCATGTTGGCCAGGCTGGTCTAGAACTCCTGACCTCAGGTGATCCACCCACCTCGGCCTCTCAAAGTGCTGGGATAACAGGCATGAGCCACCGTGCCCGGCCTTCTGAACACAATTTTCAACCTCTCAGACACTTTAATGCCTCGGATGTTCACTCCCTTCCCTCTTAATTCCCTGCATTTGGGCCCATATCTGGGCTCCTCAGTTCAGCAGTCTTGCTGCCTAGTTGGGGAAGGGTGGAGGGTGGGGGAGAGACTTTCTTGACTCAGCGCTGGCAGCAGCAAGAAGCCAAGCACATCAGAGCTCAAGGCCAAAGTACCAGTAACTGATCTGGGACTAACTATAGGATCCCTGGCCAAAGCCAGGGAAAAAAGGGCTTTCTCTTAAAATGGTAAGACTTGCATAAAAGATGCAAGGTTAACTAAGTCCACCATTATCCTGTAATGGCCTAGAGTTATGGAAAGTTTCCTGAAATTTGAACAGCACAAGTTGAGAGGCAACTCTTTATCTGGATAAGGGGCATCAGGTTTCCAACGACAAAACTGGTGCCCCTCATTTAGAAAAAGGATTTAGGTGCCACTTCAGGGCGCATGAATCCATCTGAGACAAGCAGTTTGGAAGCTGAAACGGGAGCACTTATAGTGATTTACAAGGCTCTGGGATAGACTGTTGGTCAGACATTGGCCAGGGTTTGGGCTGTTTCATGGAGTATATAGGCCTCATGGGTTTCCAGGTGGGGCTGGGACCATTGCTGTTTATCACACCAGGCAGGTGAGGATTGCTTTAAGTGACCTGTGGTCAGTCCCAGGTGGAAGTGGCTAGGGCCAGGGCTGTGAGGATGCTGAGGGGATGCCCACTTCATAGGACGGGTGCGTATGTCTGCCTTAGGCTCCCAGTCTTAAAACTCTGCTCATCTCCATTCCCACTGTTTCACTTGACTAAAAAAAACCACCTCTGCACAACCTTGTGAATGGACTTAACTCATTGTATGCCTGGGAATGGTTAAAATGCTACATTTTGTATTATGTATTTTTTTCCATGATAAGCAGAAAAATTTTAGGTGACACGCTCTACACAAAGCCAGTTCAGAGGGCCCATCTTCAAGCTCTGGCATTTTGTACATATCTTTAAGAACTGCTCACAGCAGACATTGGAAATACTGGTTTCCATGGCAATGTGCCTTTTTGAGATAAATTCTTTTTTTTTTTTGAGACTGAGTCTTTGTCGCCCCAGGCTGGAGTGCACTGGCCAATCTCAGCTGACTGCAGCCTCTGCCTCAGGTTGAAATAATTATCCTGCCTCAGCCTCCCGAGTAGCTGGGACTACAGGCACATACCACCACACCCAGCTAATTTTTATATTTTCAGTAGAGACAGGGTTTCTCCATTTTGGCTGGCTGGTCTTTAACTCCTGACCGCAAGTGATTCACCCACCTCAGCTTCTCAAAGTGCTATGATTGTAGTGGTTAGCCACCGTGCCCAACCCACCATATATTTCTTTTCTCTCGCTCTCACTCTTGCTCTCTGTCGCTCTCTCTGGCAATCTCTCGCTCTGTCACCCAGGCAGGAGTGCAGTGGCGTGATCTCGGCTCACTGCAACCTCCACCTCCTGAGTTCAAGCGATTCTCGTGCCTCAGCCTCCTGAGTTGCTGGGATTATAGGCACACATCACCACATCCGGCTAGTTTTTTGTATTTTTTGTGGAGATAAGTTTTCACCTTCGTCAACAGCGAAGGTGGCTTCAACCTTCTGACCTCAGGCAATCTGCCACACCTTGGCCTCCCAAAGTGCTGGTATTATAGACATGAGCCACCATAGGCCCAGCCCATATTTCTTTTTATTTGTTAAACACATACTACTTGGAAGACCCTGGCTCAGCACTAAGAATCCAACGATGGGTCAGATATGGTCTCTGCTAGAGACCAAAACATAGAGACAAAAACAGAGTGAACACTAAAAAATTAATTACAAATGGTGCCCAGGGTACAGGAGGAAACAAACCAAGGGCCGAGACAGAATATAACAGAGAAAGCCTATTTCATGGGGATATGAGGAAAGCATTTTTGAAATGATGAAATGCAAAGAATGACGAGGAGCCTGGAAAGCAAGGTGGCTCGGGACAGGGCTCCAGAGGGCAGTACCTTTGAGGATGAGAGCCGGGACAGGGAAAGACTGGTAAAAGTGTTAAGTAATACGTGAGCAATTTAATAGTGAAGGACAAGTGATTCACTTGACTCTTACCACCTGTGTTTGGCTCTGCTGTGTTCTAGGGCAAACTAATGGATAATAGCCATGGAAACAACCTTGGCATGCAACTATAAACACTGTAAGTAGAAAAGAATTGCTGTTTTCTTCCATTATTTACTATCATACACTTGTCCTTCCTAAACAGGAGCCATTGCAGGCCCTGCTGGCTAGCTTTTGCAGTAAGCATAGTTTCCAACTGAAGAAGGGAAGGGTCCCCAGGTCTGCAGTTACCATGGCAACAGGATATCCTGTTTTTGCTGATAGGCAAAAAATTAGCTGGACATGGTGGTAGACACCTGTAATCCCAGCTACTCGGGGGGCCTGTTGTCCAGGCTGGAGTGCAGTGTCTCAATCTCAGCTCACTGCAGCCTCTGCCTCTGGGGTTCAAGCAATTCTCGAACCTTAGCCTCCCCAGTAGCCAGGACTATAGGTGTGCACCACCACACCCAGCTAATTTGTTATATTTTTAGTAGAGAAGGGGTTTCAGCATGTTGCAGGCTGGTCTCAAACTCCTGATCTCAGGTGATCCCCCTGCCTCAGCCTCCCAAAGTGCTGGGATTACAGGTGTCAGCCACCGCACTTGGGCCTTTGCTCTTCCCTTTTTATATTAACTAGAATGGGTACGTGGTGCCTGGATAGGCAACAGCCATCCTGAGACCATGCGGATGAAAACTGAAGGAGCAGCAGGGCTTGGCATATTACCTCTGGACTTAAATGAGAAAAGATAAATTGCTATTTGATTGAACTTCCATAGCTGGCATTCAGTTACATGCAGTCTAACTCAATTCTAACAAAAAGGGCCAAAGTGGCCTTCACTGTTGACCAAGGCAACTGTTTCTTCAGCCAGTCAAAGGCAAAACTGATGGTGTAACAACGGCTGTTAGGTTGGGTGTTCTCATTGCCCTTCAGCTCCCTCAAACAATAAAATAAACCAAAGAAAGGCATTCTTCCAATTGAAATGCTTTTATTAGAATACTAATAAATGCAGATTAAAAAAAACTCACACACAGAAAAAGAAGGAGGAAAACACTCAGAAATGTGATTACAGGTTAGGCATATTAGAGGAAAAAGAGTTGCTCAGGGTATACAAAATGTAAACATTTTCCCTGGGATTTCCCACAGATGGCACAGTCCACGTGGACTTTTTTGGAACAAATACAAGTCTGTTGAGCCTCCAGGACAGCCTCTATGTCTGCCAACTTGCCACATTGAAAGTTTAAAGTTCCTAAGAATTTCTATGCAAAAAACAAAATGGCTCCCAATCCAGGCAACTGGCACATGTGGAAGCAAAATAACCAAAGCAAATCCATCTTCCAACAGTCAGCTTCAGCTCCCTCCAGCTACTGTATTTACATTTACCCTGACAGAGGTTACAAAGATATATATATACATAGTATATAAGACCCCTAACTTGAGGCGGGGGTGTGAGATGAAATCTTTCTTGCTTATAAAATTCTCTGGGGAGAGGCATCAAATCAGTCCTTTGAACTTAGCGAGAGAGGACTAAGAAGAGGCCCTCTTCTGTTCAGAAAACGGAGACTCATAAACTTCCATGGGTGGGCAGGTACAAACCAGGTGCTGATCTCCATATATGTCATCAATACGGGCAATGGTTGGCCAGAATTTGTTCTCTGGTTTCACGAAGGGCTGCAAAGGACAAAAGATGGAAATGCTGTGACATGTTCTGAGAGGTTTATCTTAGGAAAAAAGAGGTGGAAATGCTATTCCCACAGCCTAAGACACCATCAGGCCAACAAATATTCTGAGAACCTAAAAGCTAACCTTACATTACTTTAGTTTGGATATTTAGCTGACCTCTTTTAACATAGTTCTAATTTATTTGCCATGTCATTTTCCATACAGTTCAGTTGATTTAAAAGTTAATTTCTCATACGGTGCATTAAAGTAAAAATTTGAACAATTTTTTAAAAAGTATCATTTTGTTTGCCCTCCTCTCCAATGACAGCCATTATCCTGAATATAGGATTTACTATTCTCATTATGTTTTTATACTATCACTGCACAGATTCATAAATAGCACATAGCATAATTTGGCACATTTTGAGCCTTCTCCCTACCTCATTCAGGCACAGAACCTTCTCCATATAAGAATCAGGAGAGGAAGGTTGCATTGGGCGCCATCTCCCTGTCCCACGGTGGAGGAAAACACGTTGGTCCACTGGGCAGGACTCCTATTCAGTTTTCTCCCACTATGTTCCCTGTGGCTTCCCAGACCTGTGGTTGATACTCTGTGATCTTGCCTCTGAAAGCCAATTTCTTTGCTCCTCGTTTCTCATCAAGACCCACATTTCACAAGGTACCCCACATATGGCTTCTAAGGAGGAGGCTAAGAGTGTACACCCCTCAGGATACGAGCTGGCCCGTGCCTTCCCAGCTGGCACAAATTCAGAGAACTTACGAGAGGGAAAGCTGCCACCTCTCTGGAATAAGGCCGGTCCCAGTGGGAGGATGTAACGCAGGTCAGGGAGTGTGGAGACATCTGAGACAGAAACACAGAGGAGGGGTCAGAGCAATACACTTTTCTCCTCCCACCCTGCACCTCAGCCATCAAGCTTCTGATAGGAGACCAGGCAGAGAAAGGTGTTGTTTTCTTTGAATTTAGGGGGTACAATGTGATTTGTAATTGTGTAATATTTTAAATACCAGAATGTCATGGTAATAATAATCACATCTACCACCCAGCAAAATCTAATGAACATTCTGTCATATTTGCTTCACCTTCTAGAAAAAATTACCTATACACTTGGAGATGCCTGTGTGTCCCCTTCCCAGAGCTAACCACTCTTCTGGATTTGGTGTTTACCATTCTCATCATGCTATTATACTATTACTGCATATGTTAATAAACAGCATATAGCATAATTTGGCTCATTTTAAAATGTGGTATCATCCTATGAATAGTATTACCCACTTGTATTATATCTCACTATTATGCTCTTTAAAATGTTTATTGCCTTTAAAAAAAAAAATAGCCTAAATCCTAAAAGAAGCAGAAGTCTCCAGAGAGAAAAGAGAAGTAAATGACGGTAAATGTAATCATCTTGTATGCCTCCATTACTCTGTGAAACTCACAGCTAGCGAGGTGCCTGCCTTCTGCAAGTTGCTGACTCCTGCCATCTCCTGCAGGTAGGCAGTTTGGGAGCCTGCCCCACCTGCTGCAGACATCTCAGACTTGTTCTATGGCTTATGGCCATGAAGACCCAACCATAGCCTTCGTGATATTCTCCACTCCTGATCTTCCAGCTTAATATCTGGACTAACAAGAAACTTAGGACTCTGACCAGATATACAATTAACATGTTTTGGAAGAAGCAGAGTAATGCCCAGCCAACTCTTCCTCAACATGGGGCATAAACATTCATTCAGTCCAAATGCCAATCCAGTTTTTTTTCTTTCGTTTTTTGAGATGAAGTCTAGCTCTGTCACCCAGGCTGGAGTGCAGTGGCGCGATCTCGGCTCACTGCAACCTCCGCCTCCCAGGTTCAAATGATTCTCCTTCCTCAGCCTCCCGAGTAGCTGGGACTATAGCACGCGCCACCACGACGGACCGATTTTTTGTATTTTTAGTAGAGACGAGGTTTCACCTTGTTAGCCAGAATGGTCTTGATCTCCTGACCTCGTGATCTGCCCACCTAGGCCTCCCAAAGTGCTGGGATTATAGGTGTGAGCCACAGCGCCTGGTGCCAATCCAGTTTTCTCAGTGATAACTGCTCTAACATAAGAATATGTGTTTGTACAGAGTTTGTAATGTGAATATGTAATTTCATTTATGCCATAATCTCACTACATCAAACAGAGTCACAGAATGTTACAAATTCTCCAACTAGACAGCTGGAGGACAGCTTCTACAACCACATCATCCTTGAGTAATTTGTTCAAGATGATGCAAACTTCAAAGTAATAACTTCTGAGAACTGCCTTATTCTAGGGAAGAACATCATCTCCAGATGAGAGTTCAGGAGTTGCTGGTACACTGTCCAGACACCATTTTCTACTTTAAGGAGCATTTCAAGCAAAGTTCCAGGGCCTACGCACCTTCAGCGGATTGACCCTGGAGTCGATGCGGCCCTCCTCGATGTCAGCAATTTCCTGCCGAATGCTGATCATGGCATCACAGAATCTGTCCAGCTCTGCCTTGTCCTCCGACTCAGTGGGCTCAACCATGAGGGTCCCTGCCACAGGCCAGGACATGGTAGGGGCATGAAATCCTGCAAACGGAGACAGGAGAACTTGCCTCACTGAAAGTGAGTAGGCTACCCAGTTTGGAAGAAAAGTTCCCATCCCCTCTTACACTTTATCCTAAGAAAATGAGCAGATACCTTTGCAATTATATGTATTTTGGGATTCAACTCAATGCTGTTTTTAGAAGAAAAACTCAGGAAACAACCTAATATCCAACAGTGGAGGATCAGATAAGCAAATTTTACAGAGCACCCATACAGCAGGTAGACAACCATTCAAAAGTATGTAAATTTGTTAAATTGATTAAACATTCAAAAATATTAAGTGAAAACAAGCCACAAAATGATATCCCATTTCTAGAGATAAATAAAAGGACAGAGAGAGAGAGAGAAAAAGATGCCTTGAAGAAAACACAAAATGTTAGCTGTAAATATGGCCAGAAAATGAGACTGGGATTTTTATTTCACTTTGATTCTATTTTAGAATCCTTCAGTAGTTATCATATATTACTTGCAATTAAGAGAAATACAAATATTATAGCCTATCAAAAGTTAAATCGTGAAATAACAAGTGTTACAGACCCTGGAGCAAATCTTATTGTCCCCATTTTATAAGATAAGAAAACTGAAGTTTGGCCAGTATGTGGAAAGCCTTTGCCTTTACACTGAACATGCGCTCAGTGTGTTTCTATGTTTCCAAAGGTTTTCACATGTAAGGTGATGCAAGACACATAGTCAAGAGAGACTTCCAGGACAGAGGTCAAAAACAACATTTTCCATTTCCTATATCTTTTCTATAAACTTTCTTTTTTTTTTTTTTTTTTGTCACCCAGGCTGGAGTGCACCAGCACATTCACAGCTCACTGCAGCCTCAGCCCCCTGGGCTCAAGTGATCCACCCACCTAAGCCTTCCAAGTAGCAGAGACCACAGGTGCATGCCACCATGCCTAGCTAATTTTTGTTGTTGTTGTTGCAGACAGTGTTTTGTCATGTTGCCCAGGCTGGTTTCCAGCTCCTGAGTTCAAGCAGTCTTCCTGCTTCTGCCTCCCATCATGCTGTGATAATAGGCATAACCCACCACACTGGGCCTATGAAACTTTTAAAAGCCAAAGAGCAACTCCCAGGTTGATACACCTCTGAACTAATCTTGTTTCAGCGTGCAGTGGTTCTCAAATTCTGGTGACATCATAATTACATGGGGGTACTTGAGAGTCACATCTGCATGATTTAAGGAATTCTCTACCCAACATTTTATTTTAAAACGTTGAGGCCAGGTGCTATGGCTTACACACCTATAATCCCAGCACTTTGGGAGGCCAAGGCCAGTAGATTACTTGAGCCCAGGAGTTTGAGACCATCCTGGGCAACATGGCAAAACCCCGCCTCTACAAAAAATACAAAAATCAGCTGGGTGTGGTGGTGTGTGCCTGTAGTCCCAGCTAGAAAGCTGAGGTAAGAGGATCACTTGAAAAGAGGTAAGGCCTGCAGTGAGTCAAGATCACAACACTGCACTCCAGCTTGGCGACAAAGTGAGACCCTGTCTCTATTAATAATAGATAAGTTGAAAGAACTGTAGGTGAGCACCCATATACCCACCACCTAGATTCTATAATGCTGTTGTTTGCTTTATCACATACCTACTCATCCAGCCAACCGTCTTACTTTTTGATGCATTTCAAAGAACACTGCAGTCGGGCCGGGCATAGTGGCTCATGCCTGTAATCCCAGCACTTTGGGAGGCCAAGGTGGATGGATCACCTGAGGTCAGGAGTTCAAGACCAGCCTGGCCAAAATGGTGAAACCCCATCTCTACTAAAAATAAAAAAATTAGCCAGGCATGGTGGCGCATGCCTGTAAACCCAGCTACTCAGGAGGCTGAAGCAGGAGAATCGCTTAAACCCGGGACACAGAGGTTGCAGTGAGTCAAGATCATGCTATTGCACTCCAACCTGGGTGACAGAGCAAGACTCCATCTCCAGAAAAAAACACCAAAGTACACTGCAGTCATTAGTACACTTCACTCTTAAACTCTTTAGCATATCATGAACTAGAATTCAGCATCTGTTCACATATTTTTGTGATAAAACTTACAGTGAAATGCACAAATCCTAACTGTACCATTTAATGAGTTTTGGTAAATGACCTTTGTCACTCAAACCAGACAGGGATTTTTTTTTTTTTTTTTAAAGAGAACAAGCTGATTACCTATCAAGTATGCCCTTAATTCCATGTGTGAGCAAATTCAATCCAACATATCCTGCTATAGTGGTTCCCATATTTCAAAGCACCTGAGAATTTCTTGCAAAACCACAAATTCCTGCATTTGGACCCTGATTCAGGAAGGGAAGGCCCAAAAATCTATGAGTCATAAAACATGCCAGGTGATTCTGATAACTGGTCTGATAATTAGCTTGGAAACTGCTGTCTAAGGCAGTATGCCTCAAAGTTGTCTAAGAATACTCATACAGAAACTCCATGTTAAATATACAGATTATAATAAACCCTCTTCATTAAAAATTCACGTTCAGCAGGAATGCTTAAGACCTCGAAACTGTGTTGTCATGTTCATTGTTTTCTGACTTAGCTATTAATCTGGTCTCTCGTTTATTTATATATATTTTTGAGACAGAGTCTCTGTCACGCAGGCTGGAATGCAGTGGCATGATCTCGGCTCACTGCAACCTCCACCTCCAGGGTTCAATCCATTCTCTTGCCTCAGCCCCCTGAGTAGCTGGGATTATAGGTACATGCCACCATGTCTGGCTAATTTTTGTATTTTTAGTAGAGATGGGGTTTCACCATGTTGGTCAGGCTGGTCGCTAATTCCTGACCTGTGATCCACCCTCCTTGACCTCCCAAATGCTGGGATTACAGGTGTTAGCCATGGTGCTCAGCCCTGGTCTCTCATTTATTAACACCACGAGGTGAGTATCTACTATGTGCCAGATACCTGGACAATTTTGGGCATTTGGAGAAGTGTGGAAACCATTCTATCCATCATCAAAATAACATCAAGGTCGGGAGACAGAACATGACTTGGAAATACTGAGAGCCGCTCCTCTCCCTCCTTGCAAATACTGCTGCAGTGAGATGTGTGAAGTAGGCAAGGCATCCACAAAGAGAATGTGTTTTCCTGAATCGGCCATTATGTAATCACTAGCTAGGAGGCTGTCAGAGGAAAGGAGTTCTACTGTCAGGTGACAAGAGTTGCCCAGAGGAGATCTTGATGATGGGCTTGGTAATTTCATTAATGAAGACTTTCTCTGGCTTTCCCATTTATTATCAGAATAACTCTGCATAATAAGATCATTCATTTGAGAGAGGAATGAGTCACACACATGGGATTCCCATTATGATGCAGTAGTGAAACTATTAAATTTAAAAGATTTTTCTCTTTTCTTCCCAAAACAAGTCATTAAAACTCAGATAAGACTCCATATTCATCAAATGGCAAAGTTCTCCCCAACTTAGCCTTTCTGATAATTGAAAGATCCTTGATACTGTTATCACTTTAATATTATTATAATAGTAATATCAGCTAGATGTGTTGGCTTACACCTGTAATCCCAGGACTTTGGGAGGCTGAAGCGGGTGGGTTCCCTGAGCTCAGGAGTTTGAGTCCAGCGTGGCCAACATGGTGAAACCCGTCTCTACTAAAAATAAAAAAATATTAGCTGAGTGTGGTGGTACGCACCTGTAGTCCCAGCTACTTGGGAGGCTGAGGCACGAGAATCAATTGAACCTGGGAGGTGGAGGTTACAGTTAGCAGAGATCACACCACTGCACTCCAGCCTGGGTGACAGAGTGAGACTGTCTCCCCAATCCCCCAAAAAGTAGTATGATGTTAATGTTATAATATTTATAACATTGTTCACTAGGAAAATGTAGTGAGCTGAGCTGAATGAACACCCCTAACGCACAGATTAAGGGTTCAGGTCGTTCAAAATGCTTCAAAGAAAGTTTCATTTTCTTTGCGAAAACTACTACACATATTTCTTCATCTCTAGAATCAGCTGAAACAGCTATGCCATGACGGAGGTGGCTATAATGCTTCAATGCCATTCACTTCTACCACTTCTATGGGTTACTGGCTCTGCTTCCTTCACCCCTATACTCAATGCAACTCACTGGGATTTTAATTTTAATCATAAACCCTTCTTTTCTTGGCTGTTAATGGATTCAAG